AGCTGATCGTACATCAGCATTTACATAATATACAAACTACAAACGTCCGGAAGATTAGGATTAGTGCGTCTCAACTATAATATGACACAGTGGCCGGAAGTGTTTTTTGTGTGTGTAATTTGAGGTATACTGTATGTCGAGAGATATGTATAAAATTATAGATAAAATCAAAAAACTATAAAACGTAAAAAAAATGTTTTACATTTTATTTATTTTTATTTTATAAATAAAAACAAAGAAAAATAAACGACTACACATTATATATATATATATATATATAATTTCTTTTTCTTTCTCTTTTAACATCTTAAAATATATCTTTATTTTTTAATAATTATACTATATATATATATATATATATATATATATAATATAGAGACAAACACACACATACCTATATATATATATATATATATATATATATATATATATATATATTATAATTATAAAAAATTATATTTTTATCGTCCCCTCGCTCACCCCGATAATTATAAAAAAACCTTATTTTTTTATAATTATACTATATATATATATATATATATATATATATATATATATATATTAGTATAATTATAAAAAAATAAAGATATATTTTAAGATGTTAAAAGAGAAAGAAAAAGACATTTTATATATGTGTGTGTGTGTTTGTCTCTATATTTTTTATATATATATATATATATATATATATATATATATATATATATATATATATATATATTAGGAATATATATATTTGTAAGTTCTTTAAATATTGTAAATGTCAACAATGCACGTTTTCCTATAAGAGAATGTGATATATTGGTATATGTTTAGTATAATTTTTAAGGCATATTCTATGTCGACAATGCATGCTTTATTTTAATATTATGATTTATGATTCTGATTAAATTTTCTGGCCTTTCAAAATCTTACTCAATTGAGTATCTGCTCAGCACTGTTTCCTTTCCATTTTTTTCTAGTTATATTGGTGGTATAAAATGTAAATTGATCTGCTCAGATGCTGTTTAATGCCATCATCACTTGGTACCATAACAAAGTGTGATTTGTCATTTAGTTAGAGAGTTATTGTCCTCTTATATATCTTTGATTTGCTCACCTTAAACTAGCCTCCTGCTTTTTCTTGATGGGTCTCTCGACTGTACTTTAAATACTTATCGGTAGTTTAAACCACAGCAAGTAAGTTTCCCACAACCACAACCAGAACTAGTCTCTACAATCTGGGAAGTTTCCCTGTCCATCACTAGCCAAGTACACAGTTTTATTGCGTAGTAGAAGTATATGAACTGGGATGCCGGTGGTGATTTGGTCTCAGAGGAGTCCGAGTCCTGGCAGAACGGGGTGAGCGAGGGGACGATAAGGAGAAAATGAGATAATAAAAAGGTGTTGATGGTGCCATGTGACTGTGCTGTGGAAAAGCGCAACTGTCTGGGGCTCCTGAACTCAATCCCAAGGTTATTAATGTGCGCGCTGGCATCTCGGGCAGGGCGAGGGACATAAACGCCACGCTGTTCTCTCACAGTCGTGTCCTGTGCGTGTCTCATTGGCAGCGTGTGACCGCTCGGCCCTCACACACACTGTCCTGCTTAGTTGGGTGAATCTTACGCATGAATTCAGCCATTGTGTGCAAGAGAAATATTTTTATCAGAATGCACCACTGCTATTTATACCTCGAACACAATGGAGGCTCTGGTGGACCCGCTCGTCCCGCACCGCTTGACCCGTCCCACAACCTCACCGTCTTTATGGACGTTTGGGGAAAGCTGAGCTGTAAATGGGTGAATCCCACTCAGATATGTCAAGAACATTTTATGTTCATATTTCACAAAAAAAAAAAAAAAAAAAATTGCCTTAAAGAAAATTAATTAATTAAAAAATTTTATAATAATTAAGCTTAAGATTTTATTTTATTTATCATTTTATTTCATTTTTGGTGTGAAATGTGGCCTGGATGTGTTTTTTTTCTTCTTCTTCTGAGATTCACTAGAATCACTACTAGTGAAATCTATCAATTATTTTTATTAGGCAATGAAATGGAAATCAAATACAGATGCTGAAGTCTCCTGATGTTTAAAAAAAAAAAAAAAATCTATTAAATTTGGCTTAATTATAAAATAAAAAACAAATAGCAATAAAAAAATCTATTCAATTTGGCTTAATTATAAAATAAAAAACAAATAGCAATAAAAAAATCTATTAAATTTGGCTTAATTATAAAATAAAATATTAATGCTTAATTTTCTTTAAGCCAAATGTGATTAAATGTATCAATTAAAAGTGACTTAATAATAAAATAAAATGACTAAATGAAATAAAAAAAATAAAAAAAATTCACATAAATTTTACTTAATAATAAAAGCCATATTTAATCGATTTTATTTATTTTTTATTTCTGGGTTTCAGGACAAACATCTGGAGACTACAGCATTTCCATTTCATTGCCTAATAAAAATAAATGATGGATTTCACAAATGAGTCTTTCATATGGCCACTGGATGAATCTCACACCAAAAATTAAATAAATAAAAATTAAAAAAATTATTATTTAATTTTATTAGTTATTTGATTTGATTTTAAAGTATAATTGTGTGTGCATTTCTCATCTAGAGCTTCAGAAGTGATTGAAACCATTTCTCAATCTGTGCTCAGGTTTGCCAAGACACCGTCAAAACATCTCACAATGAGCTCAGACATTCTCATCGCCCTGTACTCTTACTGTACGTCAACTTTGACTCATTATTAGTCATTTTATTTCTCAACAAACAAAGTTGATGCATAATGAAACGACTAAGAACTGCTTTAAAGAGCAATTCACTTTTCCTCAGTGTGTTCTAACATCACGGCTAGCCAAGCTGTAGTCAGTGTTAGTTATACATGACTAGTTTTCAATCTCCATATCCTTCAATAATGCGCATTATCCTTTATAGTGCTTGACAGAATTGGCCAAACAAATCCTAGTAATGTTCCCGTATGCAGGCCGACTCTCTGCGAGCGCGCTCTGTTTATGGTAAGACAGTGGAAGAAATGCAATTGGACAAATACAAACGCGTGTTCAGGTCTTCAAGGCCGGAGAGCATTACACTGTCAGTGTGGCTGTCCAATGCAAAAGAGTGTATTGTTGTGTGTTTGTTCTATAACGCTGCAGCATTAATGCTAATACCTCTGTTGACTCTTTACGGTTTGGTTGCACGGTGGTTTTTCCGGTGGCTCGTTCTTTGGCTCAGCGGGATTTGTTTGCCGTTTTATCCACAGATGTTTGATTGAGGATTATTTTACGATAGTGTGCTTAATGGCTGTGATAAGGTGTGTGTGTGTGTGTTTGAACTGCGTTGGGCTACAGACATCACAGCAGGAACGCAGCTCAAATCCCTGCGCCTGCAAATAAAACAAAATGTGACAATAAACGTGGCAGAGGAACAAGGTGAGCTGTGATGAGCCTCTCTCTGGGGCTTTACATGGCTTTCGGGAGGAGCAGGAACATGGGACAACAGAAATGCTGAGTTATCTTTGCCATGCAGCGCTCTGGCTTCTGCTCCGTGTGTGTGTGTGTGTGTGTGTGTGCTGGGTAATCCTGTGGAAATGAAAGGTGCTGCCACACACTGGCCTGGAGATTACAGCATCACGTTTGTAAGTGTGCCAGGACTCAACTGCTGGAAACACTCTTTTCCTTTCCTAAAACTAGTGTTTTACTGCTAGTTATATTAGGAATGTGAGTTTAATGGGGGCCTATTATGCATTTTTCCATGTTTATCTTTCTTTAGTGTGTAATGTTGCTGTTTGAGCATGAAAAATCTCTGAGTTATTCTCTATATCAGTGTTTCTGAACTCCTGAGTTTCTTCCGGGAACGAACACGTCACAATATTCCTCATTTAAATAATTCATACACAGAATAAAGGGGCGGGGCCTGGTCGAGTTAGTTAGTAGTGTGTTAAACTGGCGGTTATGGGAAGGGGCGGGACATTTCCCAAACACACTCAAAGCGCTCGACCAATCACAACACACTGCTCCAGCCGACCAATCAGAGCACAGTGTGCTTTCAGAAGGAGGGGCTTCATAGAGACAGGAAGTAAACAGAGCGTTACTGACAGACTGGGAAGAGAGGAGCCGCAACAATGGAGAATATGAGGAGAATAATCAACATTTAAGCAGGAAAACCTGTTCTAGTAGAGCCTGAACACTAAATCAAGACTGTAAAAAAGGGCATAAAATGGCTTCTAATGGTTCTGATTCATTTTCCGGTTCCCTAACAATTCAATTAATGATTCTTGTTGTACATTTTTCAGGAAGCAACCCCTCTCTCAAACTATGTACTAAATAAAATCATTTATAAGATTTAGCATATTTACATTCTTAAACGTTTGTACTGAATTAGTTCTAAAGTTGAGTGAGAAGTTATTATACTCATGAGTATAATGTTCATGTTCTCTGTGTATGTAATAATATAATGTTTAGAATCCTAAAAAGTGTGTGAATATAAATATATATATATATATATATATATATATATCAAAAAGCCTAATGTTAAATAAAAACAAAATGCTAAAAAAAATTAATTAATCAAAAGTGCCAGTAAATACATTTATAATATTACAAAATATTATATTTCAAATGAATGCAGTTATTTTGAACTTTCTATTCATCAAAGAATCCTGAAAAAAAAATATGTTCACAATTTTCACAAAAATGTGAAGCAGCAGCACAACTGTTTTCAAAATTGATAATAATCATAAATGTTTCTTGAGCATCAGATCCTCATATTAGAGTGATTTCTGAAGGATCATGTGACACTGAAGACTGGAGTAATGATGCTGAAAATTCAGCTTTGATCACAGGAATAAATGACACTTTACTATATATTCACATAGAAAACAGTTACTTTACATAATAATAATATTTCACAATATTACTGTGTTTTTGATTGAATAAATTCAGCTATGGTGAGGAGAAGAGATGTCCACAAACATGAATAAAGCCGAGGTGTTTGTTGTGTGTTCTCCTGCAGGGTTGGCTGTGTGAACTCCTGCGCTGGAAAGAAGACCCGTCCCCGGAGAACCGCACACTCTGGGAGAACCTTTCCATGATCCGCCGGTTCCTGAGTTTGTCCCAAATGGAGCGTGATGCTATATATGAGCAGGAGAGCAACGGAGGACAGCAACACCATGTGGACAGACCACCTCACCTGATGCATGTGCCCACAGACCCCCTACAGGTCAGTACACACACACACACACACACCCTACAGGTCAGTCACACACACACACACACACACACACACACCCTACAGGTCAGTACACACACACACACACACACCCTACAGGTCAGTCACACACACACACATCCTACAGGTCAGTACACACACACACACACACACACACACACACACACACACACACACCCTACAGGTCAGTCACACACACACACCCTACAGGTCAGTACACACACACACACACACCCTACAGGTCAGACACACACACACACACACACACCCTACAGGTCAGCCACACACACACACACCCTACAGGTTAGTACACACACACACACACCCTACAGGTCAGTACACACACACACACACACACACACACACACACACACCCACACCCGACAGGTCAGTCACACACACACACACACACACACACCACAGACCCCCTACAGGTCAGTCACAAACACACACCACAGACACACACACACACACACACACCACAGACCCCCTACAGGTCAGTCACACACACACACCACAGACACACACACACACACACACACCACAGACCCCCTACAGGTTAGTACACGCGTCACACACACACACACACACACCACAGACCCCCTACAGGTTAGTACACACACACACACACACCACAGACCCCCTACAGGTCAGACTATAAACAACATTACAATCCATTGAACAATCATTCCTGTCAGAAATGAAATATGCCGTTACCCTGATTAAGGCTTATAGTTATTTAGCTATTTTTGTTGGAAATTCAATGGAAGAGGGTTTATGTATTAAATAACCATGTGGCAATGCCTTTATTTGTGTTGTATTTTACCAGAAACATGTCTAATTAGGACTCGTTTGATCATTTGAAGTGTGGAGGTTTGCTGTGTAAGCGTAGCCGTCATTAGCAACATCGTTTGTCTGCATTTAGATATTAAGGACAGCTAGCTATTTTCATAAATTCATCACTATTCAGAATCTAAATTTAATCACAAAAATCCCCAAGTTCTTGTGGTTACAGCTGCGTATTTGATCAAATATTATTTTGTTTACTCGCAAGCATATGGTCATTCCAAGAAAATATTATGCAGGAAGAAAAACATTTATTCACTTCCATTTTCAGCACTTAAGAGCGCGGCTTCTGCGGTGTGAAGATCAGCCGGATAAACAAAAGCTTTTGCTTACACTTTACAACACTTTCATATTAGCTAGCATTTACATGTTCATTTTTAACATACTACACTTTTAAATCAAAATATATATCTGTTAACATTGGTTAATGCACTGTGAACTAACATGAACAAACGATGAATAATTCTATATATTTTACCCAGCATTAACAGAGATTATTGCTCATGGTTAATGTCAGCTAATGCATTAATGTTAAGAAATGAGACCTTATTGTTAAGTGTTAACAAGCATTTACATAAACATAAATGCATGCTGTGGGATAATAAATCTATAAAATACAAAATGCTGTACAAAATATATATATTTTTTTGCCTCTTATTTACCTATTTTACCTTTTATTTTATTGACTCAAACCAAAATATCAAATTATTCCTAATAAATGAATAATATATTAATTTATTTTATTATTATTATTATTTTTATTGTAATTGACTCAATCCAAAAGATCAAATTATCAAACAAGAATTTTTATTTTATTTATTGACTCAAACCAAAAAGATCAAATTATTCCTAATAAATGAATAAGTTTGACATCAGTGCAAAAGCATCAAATTATGAAACGGGAATCTTCATTATTTATATATATATATATATTTATTTATTTTACTTTTTTATTTATTTATTATTTTTATTGTAATTGACTCAATCCAAAAGATCAAATTAGTAAACAATATTTTATTTTATTTATAAATGGCTCAAACCAGAAGATCAAATTAATAAACAAATGTCTCTCATTTTATTTTAAAAAGAAAAGTAAAGCCATTTTATACACAATGCCATACATTACTGTGATTTTTTTTTTTTTACCTCGGTTAAAGAGTTTTTAGGTGCGACGTGATGCTCAGAAACGCTTTTTGATGAGCAAACACAACTCATTAATATTTCCTTCAGAATGTAAAATCACACTTCAACTTTAATGCGCTGAATGCCAGTGGTTGACCTTGATGTCTTGTACTTGCTCATGTCCCATTTATTTCTGCCTATTGTATTCCAGTGTCTTTGAAATGTTATCAGGAGACTAGTGCACTTGCAGAAATGTTATCAAGCATTCCCGTCCCCTTTGGGAATGTCCCAGGAAAAGCCGTCTGTATAGTGTATGGAAAGAGCAGCTGCTGCGACAATGGCCCAAACTCTCAGACAATGGCACATTTCAGAGCTAATGTGTCATGTGTTTAGATCGACGTGAAAGTGGCCTAAACACAGACACCGATAGCACATCTCTCACAGGACACACACACACACACACACACACACACTGTGTTTAGCGTGTTGAGCTACAGCGTTTCAATAGGGCTTGATAAGCAATCAACAGACCGCCACTTTTAATGTGAATTTTGTGATGAAAGAGTTTGTGTTCGTGAGAGCAGGTACAGCTGTGAGTCCCAGCAGCATTTATACATCACTGTATGGATAAATCTCCTTTCATTTGATTGATTTTATTATATAATTAATGACTAACTTAAAAGTTTAGTTTAGTTCCATAATGGAATAAGACAAATCAAGGCTGACATCAATACAGAAATTTAAAAAATATTAAACCAATGTTTTATTTTATTGACTCAAACAAAAGATTAAATTATTCCTAACAAAGGAAAAAGTTGGACATCGGTGCAAAAACATCCAATAATTAAACACAAATTTTTATTTGATCTTATTTATTTTGATTGGAATGGACTCTAACCAAAAGATCAAATTATTAAACAATGTTTATATATATATATATATTTTTTTTTTTTTTTTTTTTTGTAATGGACTCAAACCAAAATATCAAATTAATAAACAACAATGTTTCTCTTTTATATTTTATTTTTATTTTATTTTATTTTATTTTATTTTTGATTGTAATGGACTCAAAACAAAAGATCAAATTATTAAACAAGAATGTTTTTCTCATTTTTTTTTTTTTTTTTACTTTACTTTACCTTTTACTTTTTATTTTATTTTATTTTAATTGTAATTGACTAACCAAAAGATCAAATTATTAAACAATGTTTCTTTTTTTATTATTCTTTTTTTTTTACTTTACTTTACTTTATTATTTTATTTTTACTCTAATGGACTCAAACCAAAATATCAAATGAATAAACAATGTTTCTCTTTTATATTTTATTTTATTTTTGATTGTAATGGACTTTGATCCAAAAGATCAAATTATTAAACAAGAATGTTTATGTTTTTAATTTATTTTTAATAAAAAAAAAATTATTTAATTTTATTTCGGGCATAATGGACTCAAACCAAGTGGGAAATGATTCTTAAGTAATAAGTCTGACAATGATGTAAAAACTTAAAATATAAATACATTCTTAGACACTTCAACACAGGGAAACTGATGCCATATAATGTATATTTCCGACTGATTGAAACGTTCCCTTGTGTTTGTGTTTTTCTCAGACTCATCAGCACCCGTCCTCTCAGCTCCAAGCCCAGCTGCCCCTGCCTCACCCCTCTCAGCCTCCGCTATCCCAGCAGCCCTTGCAGCAGACGGGCCCTCGCCTGCCCCCCCGACAGCCCTCCATGGCCTCGCCGGCCGAGACGGAGGACGAGAACCGATGCAAGAGCCGCCAAACTAACCGGATCTCCATGGAGGCGCTGGGGATCCTGCAGAGCTTCATTCAGGACGTGGGCCTGTATCCCGACGAGGAGGCCATACACACACTCTCAGCTCAGCTCGACCTGCCCAAACACACCATCATCAAGTTCTTCCAGAACCAGCGCTTCTACATCAACCACGCCGGCAAGCTGAAAGAGCCCGTGGTGGGATTCCCCTCGAACATCAACCACAAGGACGAGGGCCTGACGGACTTCAAGGACAGCGAGTTGATGACCGAGCTGGACGAGAGCGTTCAGACCAACAACAGCATGTTCTCCGTTAAACTGGAGGAACACCTGGCCAACGAAGCGCTCGCTATGGGACCGGCCCAAACCGAGCAGGAGGCCAAAGAGTGACGGACCTCGACTATCCCAATCTTACTCTTTCACTCTCTAGTCTGTGTTCCATGAGCGAAACTGTAAGACTTTTTACACCAGACTGAATAATACACAGATGATTCACTTTCACAGTTTTTGTAATGCGTGGATTATTTCACTGTAAAGACTCGTGCATCATTTCAATAATCTGCACAAACAAAATGTAAAAAAAAAAAAAAAAAAAAACATCTTAAAGGAGTAGTTCACTATTAAATGAAGAAAAATCATTTTTGAAAACCAGTTTTTTTATGAAGTGAATGGCGATTTGGGCTGTCAAGCTTCAAAATGCACAAAAGCATTACAAGTAGTCATACATAGTCCATACAAATCCATGCTGACCGAAGACACTTTATAGCACATTAACTGTGTGTGTATATAACAGTATGATTACGTTTGCTGTAAATGTAACTTATTTGATTTTAGTTTATTCCTAATGTACTCAAACTGAAAGATCAAATTATTCATAATAACAAACTAATACGTTTGAGATCAGTGCAAAAACTTCTACTCTCTATTTTAATTTATTTTTTGATTTTATTAACTTAATGGACCAATAGATCAGATAATTCAAGAAATCAAGTCGGACATCAGTCAAAAACTTGAGTTCAAATGACCAAAATATCACGGTATGAGTTATTTTATACAGTACATATATCACAACACGGTTATCTGAAGTCGCATGAGTGCGTGTTTATGACGGCCCCAGTTCTCATTCACTTCTATTATGTAGAAATCTTCTTCCTAGATCACTTTAAGATGACATGAGCGAGAAAACATGAACTATTCCTTTAAGCGAGCGGTATGTTGCTGTGGATATTTGCGACTGCACTTGTTATCTGTTGTTTTTACACTGATTTTAAACTACTGGTTTAAAAAAAAAAAAGGAAAAAAAAAGGAAAGTCAATGGAGTTTGATAGACTTTGATGTTTACGTATGTGATGTTAACTGGATTTTTTTTATAAAAAGAAAAGAAAATGCATGAAATTGGAGACGAGGGGTATGTAGACGAAGCACTGAAATAACGGATCGCTCAGTCTCTGGATCCCTATGACCTGCAGGGAAACCCGGGGAAATCTTATTATTATTATTATTATTTGCTTTGAAGAAATATAAATATATATATATATATATATATACATAGACATATATTAATTGTAAAAAAGTATACAGTCTTAAAGAAACTATGCCAACAAATGCCTTGTACTATATGGCACTGCCGATGTTAGATTATTTTGCAAAACTTTGGTCACTGTAAAATCCTGGAATTCCACAGTTTCAAATGTGAATCACAACCTCGTTCGGTTCTCATCGTCGTCCTGCATTATTTATTTTTTGCGTTCTGATGTAATTACGTTTTCGAGCACTTCCGTCATTTGGCGCTTTTCGTTTTACTGATCTTTTTTCTATTTATAAATGTAATTTTGATGGGCAGTAAAATCAGAAGTGTCTTAACGTTTTAAATGGAAACATGTGCTTTAACAGTTGCCTAAAAAAAGTGCTGTATGTCAAGCAACTCATGCTACGAGCTTCACAATTAATGTTGTATGCAATTTTTACTATCATGCAAATAAGCTTAGGTAAATGACTAACCTATAGAACACCTTAGAGAGAAAAACATATGCAATTTGTGTGAAATCGATGTTTGCAATGTGTCTTCCTTTGGTTAACAATCCAATTCAAAGCTATTCCTGTATAAATATGATGTATAAAAAAGTGGTTCTTTTTTTATGAGTTTATTGCAATGAGAACACCAGTTATTTTGTTACGACTGACTGTTTTATAAGTGTTTCTTGGTTTCTTTACGCAGAAATGTTCTAACTAGGAGTGGTTACTGATTGTTAATGACACAATTAAACTGTTTGTATTGTACTCCGGAATCTTTGCGTTAATGTGCATTAAAGAATATCCACAGCGCAGGCGCATCAGCTGGTCCTTTCACTACAGTATATTACCGTGTGTGTTTAGGGCACATCTACGGCAGTGTTACTGAGCTGGTCCGCGGTGAATGGAGGTGTAAAGCTGTGAGTAACTCCAGGTGAAGCTCATGTGGAAATCATCATGACCTCACACAGCATCCAGTGTTGCTTACGTGCATTTTTAGCGAGAAATAGGCTATCATTCACGTTTTCCGATTTTTCAGGATGAGGGTAAGTTCTAAACCATCGGATATCCAGCAAATGACTGTGTTAGTAATAACGTCCTTTGTTTTGGCAAACTTTGTATATGCAGGAGATGAACGCAAGTATGTAGATAACTGTAATATATATATAAAACGTGGAAAATGCGCAACTTTGCAGTTTGTCTGCTGAACTACAGCTCACTCGTTTGTTGTCAGACTGACAGCAGTTTGTTATTATTGCAAGTGGGATTGTGGGAAAATAACTTTCTTTTTCTTTTAAAGTATGTGAAGTTTAATATTTTAATGTGTACACTAGCAGGCATCAAATTTCATGAAAATGTTAAATAAAATTCCTTATACCATGGAGGCCCTCGACTGAAATGTGTTCAAATGACAGACAAGATTCATGTTTCTGTTTATTTAGATCATACAATTTCCACTTAGAAATTGATCTGATTTGGTCGCTTGAATGTTCTTAACACAAATGGACAATAAATAAATGTTCTCCTTATGTTATCACTAGAACTACTCCTGAAACCCATACTTAATATATATGTAAATGTTTAGCAAAAACAGAAATATACATACATCTTGGGGCAAAAACACACTGTCACAGGGTAATTATTGTCAACTACAATCATAAAAACTAAATGTCATTACTTGAAATAATATAAGTAGAAGTTTAGAGTAAGAATAAGTAGAATCAGTTTAAGTAGAAGTGATAAAATAACATAATATAGCCTAATAACTAAACAACCATCAGATATTTATAAAAACATTAGCAAAATCAGGCAATATTTAAGTAAGGTCCACAGTTCAGATTTCACCTGTGATATATATATATTCAGATTGTGATTATATTTTTTGTGTCAAAACTATAAATACAGCACAATATACTCTATTATTAGAAGAAAAAACAACAGTAACAGTAAGTCTGTCAGAACACTTCTTTACAGTAGTCCACTTTGCTGCTTTGATCATATTGAAAATACTTGCCTCAATATTTGACCTGAAGAGTAAATGAAGAGGTTTTACAACAGGCTGACACAATGATAGCAGGGTTTGGGAGAATGCAACACTTACCCATCAGCCCCTGCAGGACAGCAAACTAATGCAGCAGAAACCAATAAAGTCATTAGATGTGATCTGGGAAAATAAGTTCTCTGTCTTCACGAACTCCACGGCTGAAGGGTCCGGGCAACATGGAATCGAAACTGACCGTTTTCAACATTGATAATAATCATAAATGTTTCTTGAGCATCAAATCATCATATTAGAGTGATTTCTGAAGGATCATGTGACACTGAAGACTGGAGTAATGATGCTGAAAATTCAGCTTTGATCACAGGAATGAATTACACTTTACATATTCTTCACATGTTGGGTAAATGACTTGTGATATCAATTTTATTAGCATTTATATTTTTTTGTGTCACTAATGTAAAATACTAAAACAACTAGAATTTAAAATTGTTTTGACAATTTAGTTAAATAATTGAACAACTGATGACAGACAAAACAGAATAAATTAATTATTTTACTTATATACAGGCATGCTTACATATTTAATTTACCATGTTTTAATTAAAGATACTCATAATATCAATACAAATTCAATGGAATGATTTCACTCAATTAGCCTACAGATTTTAATAAAAAACAAAGATGTCTGAAATATATATCTAGTTCATGAATTTATTGGATAATAACCCCAAGTGTGTAATTTAAAAAAACAATAAGACTTCTAACCATAACGGTCTAATATTAACTTTTCATTCACCACAAATTAATTATTAATAAATTTACACACACAAAGTTTTTCCACATTACTTTTCACTAAATAAACAAGTTTATGTAGTGTTTATTTAAAGACTTTTTTTTATATTTATATACCAATATAAAAAATCCCAGCCATAAACAGCAATATTTACTTAATTACATTTTCATTTAATTATTTTCATACAAGACAAATCTCCTTGTGTCAATTCACTTTCCCGAATATTTTTGAGTGATGATAAAACGAATCAGCGTTTTAATCGATTCTTAAAGGATTCGTTGAACTGATTCACCAACGGAAGTTTCATTCGGAGACGCCGTTTAAAACATCGCGAGAGCGGGTAAAGAGAAGACGCTCCAAATGCGTTTGAATCGCTCTCGCGCTACTTTGTCATACACACCGATCGCTTCAACTCGAACACACAACTCACCTCACGTGTCGAGAAGAAAGCAAAAGTGTGGCAGAGGTGAGTAGGCCTAGTAAAAACGCCAGTTTAACCAGTTAGAAATGGATGGAATTAACATCATACATGAGCGCAAGTCGATGAATGCTAAATACTAGAACTGATGTCTGTCATCTGAATCGCATATTCTCTTGAATTTTTTCAAATATAACCTATTGAAAAACTGACGCGCAGGGATCCTTTTCACAGACTGACGTGTTTTAACTGTCTTCATTGACCTAAATCCTGCAAAGTTTTTTCTTTTTTCATATTTAAATTTTTTTATGCATTTATAAGAGTCATACATTTATACGAATATAATTTGTATTATATTGCATCAAATTCCAAAAAACTTGCGCTGCTGTGAGGGTGTTTCTGTGGGAGTGATTTGAGATTTGATCAAATGGGAACACAAAAATGATATTTAATGTATTCTCTCGTTCACCGAGAAGTTTACCCAACTATGACGACTTCCCGGAAATGTGGAAACAGGCCCATGGCATATTCTCTTGAATTTTATATAATGTAGGGCCTATTGAAAAACTGACGCGCAGGTTAAGGCCTATAAGTAATATTTGGTATAAAATAATGTTGAACATTTTGATAACAAAACATTTGTATTTGTAACAATACTCAATTTGAATTAACGCTCAAATTAAAACTGATGTACATTTTTGTTGTTGTT